GGCTGCGCGTTTAAATGCCTAAACGACGGCTTGTTAGTGCTGGATTTTTTGAATGGGATCAACTCCTTCGGCTTGTCAGCGTTTGCTTTCATCTCTTTCATTTTCAAAATTCACCTCGCCACATCTTGTCGAACGCTTTGATCTTGACTTGCTCCTTGGCACATGCGGAATCGAAGAAGCTAACAGTGATAGTAGTCACCAAATAGCACAAAATAAATTATTTTATGAGTACATAAGAATTGTTTTTCATAAAATTAAAATTTCAGAAAACACGTGAAGCGCACACCGACTTTGATTCGACAAAAATTTCAGCGAATCAGATCTAACAGAAGCTGCCTCTTCCACTTTATCGCTGCTCACTACCGAAAACTGGGCAGTATGGAGGAGTTCTTCCAGTACATCGGCCCTGATGGCGGCGCGGCGTCTTCGTCCGCTCTGCTGAACCGCGAGCGCATGTTCGTGTACTCTTCGCCGCGTGAGAAGCAGATCGATCGCTGCGGGGAGCTGCGCGTGGGCTCGTACTTTGCCTGCTCGGGTGTTCTCTTCTACGAGGACCAAGCGTGGCTCAAGATCCGTCGCGGCTACTTCTCCAACGCCAAGAACAATGGCTACATCCGCGTGCACTTCGAGTTCCCAACTGGCTCAACGCCCATAGATGGCAGCGACTTACCAGCTCGTCAGCTCTCGTCTGTGGTTGCGGCACAGCCCGCACAATTCCGCTACATGCGCAGACTCCCAGGTACGCGTTTTGGTTGATAAACCACGGCAATAAGCGACTAACTTGGTGTTCTATGCTGCTATGAACAGAGTTCCCGACGTACATGTGTGCACGCGACCGGTTGGTGCTGTACCGTGAGCCAGTGTTTAATCTCCACTCGGCGTCGGTGTCTTCTTCAGGTTCCGGATCGAATTCCAGTACACCGCGACATATGCAGCGGTTTTTACCGCCTGTGAGCGTTTTTCAAGCCACGGAATGTAGATTTAATCAGGATTTTACACAACTAGCAGTAAAGGTGACGTCAGCGTTCGCAGGGTTGGGAGGGTGGATCAATGCTTCGTTCCACAAGACGCTGATCGAGGTGGAAGATCCGAAACAATTCGGTTTTTTTCGCAATGGACCGGTATATTTACAGAACGTGGCTGGACGGGGAGGCAAATGGGCAGGGGAACTGCCAGTCCGAGCGATTCCAAGCTTACAAGCTCCACGACTGTACAATGTCGAGAGTTATCGCGTCGTGAAGGCTATTGAACGCAAATTACTGAAAGACCGGGTGTGGGTTCGGATCCAGCCGTTAAAGTCGCAGCAGGAACTGCAACATACAGGCGAAAAGAAGAGCGAGGAAGAGAATCCTGCAGCTGAAGCAGGTGAGAATCAAGAGGAAGAGCACGAGACTGCAGGTCCCGATGCGTGGGTCATTGAACGTAATGCCAATACTGCTCAGAGAGTGATGGTGCCGTGGGGAAGCAACCGTATCCAGGACGTACCTGCTAACGACAATGCAGAGCGGTATTACCGCACCGTATACAGTCGTCGTCCGCTGCCTTTGCGTCGTACTGCCGATCTACAAGCAGAGATTGTTGGCCACCTCGAACCGGGATCCGTGTTCTCGTCAACTCAGCGGATTCTCAATGATAATGGACGTATGTGGATTCGAGTAGCACTACCGTCGGGGAAGCAGGCTCGTATGAGCAAAGATGTTGGCGAAGATGAAGATAACAACGCAAGCTGCAATCCGGATAATAACGCTGACGAGGCTAAAGAGGAAGAAGAGGAGTTCGAGGACCTTGGCAAGTCTGTCCGATACGGCTATGCCATCCAATCGAACGCCAAGACCAACACTTGTATGGTCCAGGAGATCCCTGCACCTGGAAAGATGAACCCGAAGCAGTACTATCACGTCTCTCTCTCGTCAGATAGACCACAGAACAGTAACCAGGAGGATGGCAGTGCACCAGAAAACACAATTGCAGCTCGAGCAGAGGCTTCCAACTCTGCGAAAGAACTGTTCTACGTCAAGAACGGCGCTATCCTGTCCGCTATCGGCACTGTATTTAATGCTGAACAAGGAAGAATGTGGTTGCAAGTGCTGGCAGCCGAACTGGAGCCTGCTATGCGTGTCAAACACCAGTGGCCGCTGTCTGATGCAGAGCAGAAGCTGAACGTGGTTTACATTCCCATGTGCGATCCTAACGGGAGCCCTCACGAGACTGTGCTCAAGCCTGTTCATCGTGAGTTGGCGAAGATTGACAACCCTCTAAAAGCTGAGAAGGATACGTCGAGATCTCCGTCTCGTGTGGTGTTCAGTGGCCGTGCGTCAAAGCTTTTCGGCTCGCACTTGTTGCGTCCGTCTACTATCGACTTGCCTTCGACATTCAAGAAACCAGGAACTCTTAGCAGTGGAATCAATGTTCCAGATCCGGTGGCACGAGCTGCTGGCGAGAATGATCACGCACAGAGTCTCAAGGACGAGATAAGTGCGTGGCAACTTCAAACGGGTAACCGCGTGACCCAACTGTATTCTCAGATTGGTTCGTTGGCCAGCTACACGTTGAGTTGCGTTCGTCGGCCGTTCGCGTCGTGCCTGGCACACCAAGAAGCCAAGCGGAGATACCAACAATTGGACCAGGAGGAAGAGGGCATGGAGGAATATGCCCTCGACGACGACGACGTGCGCGTTTAAGTTGCTCAACGAGTTGCTAGGATGCTGCAACACGATTAAGCACATGTCTGTTGTGGATCAAATTTAGATACTTCTAAATAAGAACCAAAGTACAGATTGAAGTTGTTTCAAATTCATCTCGGTGATCCAAGCTGCAGTCAATTTTGTCCAATAAGAAGGCGTGGGTTATAAATCAGATCAAACACCACATTGCTTGTCAAAAGATCCCAGCGCTCAGTTCCCAATCAGCCAGCGACCTCGGACTCCACTCAAGATGCAGATTCTCTCGACGATCACTGCTGCTGCCGTAGCCACCGCCGCCCTTGTGCTCGTCCTTGCCGAGCAGGAAGTTCACCTCAAGGTGCGCGTGACCGACAAGTTCTACGTGACGCCCATCGGCAAGCAGTGCGCCTACAACAACTGCGTGGATCCGTCCATGTATCCGTGCGCGAACAGCGGCGTCTGCGTGCGTCTCAACTACACGTACGGCAAGTGTAGCGACGACGCGGCGGACAAGGAGACCGAGCAGGACCTCAACGACCCCAAGCTGCTGTGCCCCTACCCGAACCCGTACAACAGCAAGCTCGGCTCCGTGGACGACGACGAGAGCTACGACAGCTACGACAGCTATGACAGCCAGTAAATGGGAAGACAGAGTTTATCTGTCAACCTTAATGTAGCGACAGCAACGTGTACATCTCCATAATGTAGTAAATTCACCACTTGAACCTTCACTGTCTTGATCGCCGGACACCATTGCGGGGTTCCCTCTCATAATCGCTTGGTTCAAATTGATCCCTCTTCAAGTCGATCGTTAGCCCACATCGAAAATGACATCGAATGCGGAATCGGCACCAGACTCGGACGACCTCGAGGCTCAGTTGACGGCGCTTAAGGCCAAGAAATGGGCTGGTGGCAAGGAGCTGACTGCGTACATTAAGGATATGGCCTTACATACCGGTAAACGCGCCGTCGTCAAAGTGAGCGGCGGCAGCTACAAGAAGTTTATATGCTCCAGCGACGCACCATGTCCGTGGCTTCTTAATGCAGTGTATTCGCGCCCCAAGAAGACGGAGACCGCGCGCTTCTGGTACGTGACGTCGGGCTCGCTGGTTCACGATCCACAGTGCGACAGCGTGGCCAAACCCACGACCAGACAGCTCAAAGAGAGCTCGCTACTAAGAGACGCTGTCTATGCGGACGCCCGCGTGTCATCAGCCGACCTGGTGGCGCAATTAGAGGCCGCCCAGGCCATCCAGTGCAGTAAAAGCATGGTATACAAGGCTAAAACCGACCTATTAGATGCGTTAGAGACCACTAGACGCAATGGAGACGCCGTTCCTGAAGTAGTCGAGTCGATGCAGAAACTACCTGGATATATGGAGCAGCTACGCACTTTGAACGCCCATATAGCCACTGCTATTGAAACAGAGAACGATCAGGATAACTCAGAAGAGAGATCGACTACAGAGTCGTGCTTTTTAAGAGCGCTATTGGCTCTAGACCCCACGTGTGTGTGGAATAACCAGAGTGTCTTGGGCATAGACAGCGTGGAGATGCAGCACACGAGCTACAATGGCACAATGCTTGTGCTTATAGGACAGGACGGAGACTTACAGCCACTATTACATGCAGCAGCACTTGTACCCGAGGAATCTATGGAACACTGCACGTGGTTCCTGGAGAAGTTGATCCAACATGGATTCCCGTTACGTAGATTTCCTCTGGTGATTAATGGGCGTGGAGAGTTAGGCTCTGCATGCACTGCACTGCATTTAGCTCACGTTATGTTGTGTACGCAGCATTTACTGGAGGATATGCGTGAAACTCACGAAATTGTACTGGAAGAGGAGGACGAAGCGCTTGTGTGGAAAGCTCAACGCGCAGAGGCCGAGAGCGAATACCTAGCGTCTGTGGCTCAACTTTCACGGCAGAATGAAGCAGCAGCGCAATATATTCGCGGAGTGGAGCCAGCTAAGTGGTGTTTGTATCCGTATTTGGCTATGAGAAAGATGTACGGGTGGAAGACAACGCGGTTTGAGCAGCTGGACCTTGGGACGGAGACTTTAGGTTTAGCTTCAGTGAGGAAACAACTACCGTACGAGTGTATTAAAGTATTATCCGTGGTTGCGATGAACGCTGCTTTTCAACGACATGAACGTGCGACGCAATGGGAACTGGAGCGTCATTTAGTGACACCAGAGGCGGAGCGACTGATGCAGGACGAGCTCTCCCGTGTCCAGCAATACTCCGTTTGTATGAGTTCATCTCAGCTCGCGTTCGTGTGGAATACGCGTAACCCACAGATCCGACAGCGACGTGTGGACTTGGAACACCGCACGTGCACATGCTCGCGTCGACTACAGTGGGGGATCCCGTGTCGCCATATACTAGCTGCACTACAGAAGCTAGACGCGATGAACCAGGCGGTGGATTTCTTTGACGAGTGTTATCTCGTGCGCAATTATGTATCATCGTTTAAGAATCGAACACTGGAGCTTCCAGTGGAGGAAAACATCAAGTGTGACCCGACATTACGACCTCCTCGGTTTGTGAACAAGCAGAATACAAGTGGCTCCAGGAGCGATGCGAACGCTAAGAAGAAAAGACGCCGCGTACGAACCCGTCCGATGGATCAACGTAAACGCCCAATGTACAAGTGTCATAAGTGTCACCGCGCAGAGGGCCACAACAAGGGAACTTGTCCGTACTAGCCGACAGTGGATGCGAGCCTACTTTGTACACCCGAGTGTTGTACAAGTTTTGAGGCCTCCTTGTTGGGAATATCGCTTGCATAGCTTGGCGACTGGCTCCGTGTAACGCGAACATCCAACATGACGGGGACAACAGTGACGGGAGACGGCGAGCTCCGAAACAGGAACATGGGTGCGGCATCTGCATCTTCAGTGCAGCCGGTTGTGTTCATGGGGGCCTAGATCAGGATCACTGGTTGAGAAGATATGTGATGTTCGTTTGCTGTACATGCTGTAGTGGCGATCGAAACGAAGTGGTGAGCGTGTTGCAGACTCCACGACTCCTTCACACTCTGTTCGACTTCGTCCTGCTTCAAAGCCCCGTCCGTATCTGTAAGAAGCCGCCAGAGAATACGAGGATACAGGGGACGTGGCGACAGTTGACGCGTTGACGGACTTTTGGCTGCCTACAGGGCACAACATTTCATCGTGAGCGTCCATCCACTGTTTATTACCACCCACATCCAGCTCGATCCTTAGGGAGCCATCGTCATCACTCTTCTGGAAGTCCGTGACACGAGCTGTACGCCACTCCGGGTGGCTTTTTATTACTCACGTGTTTACCCATGAGAATCTGGTCATTAAGCTGACAGTCTCGCCAATTCTGGACCTTCGTGTTTAGCGGAGCTAGTCGAGTAGACGTGCTATTGATCCGTTCATCCCAACTCGATGTCCAGCCCCATTAAAGTGTTTAGCGGAGCGACACAATCTACTCGATACGAGCTCGGCCTCTAAGCGTGTCGCTTGCTGCACCCATCGGGTATTCGCGACAGTTCAGTCCGACGTCTTTGACTGGTGCAACCAATTGTAGCCTTGACAAGTTGGTTAGCAATCGACCTGTACGATGAACCGCCATCCACGTCTCTCTCTACCAGCAGGTGCATGTTACAGTGCAATTTTCTGCTTGGTATCCAAGGTGAAAGTGTTCACAGGCACGCGCCGCCACGATTGACGAGTGACGAGACTCGTGCGTCGGAGAAGTGCACCTTCGCTTGCTTGTAGTATTTTCTGCACGTTGACACGCGGGTCGTGTCAATTGCTCAGCAGTAGCAATTGGTAATGAGCCGCGTGAATCCCTGCAACATGCAACCCCCGGGTACTCCTTTCGTTACCAATAACCGAAGCAGTTGTCCGTGTTTATCGCGATTCTATCGCGATCATTGCAATAGACGTTCACTGGAAAGCTGTGAAGTCTCGTTTCATGGTGTCATGATCATCGGCATGGATAGCAAGTCGACCTAGTTAAAGCCTAGCACAATCTCTTTGGTAGTTTTGATACGCGATATTCGTATTTTATGGCTTATATCTGAAATATATTTGAAACTGGAAACTGGAAGCAAAACAGTACCGAAGTAAAATAAAATAGTGGTATAATCTACAACGTCTTGCAAAAGTTATCGTACCAAATTGCGAGGTGCGTGGCGCTTGCAGTAGTAGTTGTACTTCTGGTACGAACGACGGTTGCAACTTTCATGCTTGCAGCGATTACCACCCCCATGTGCCCAACAGAAACCACCCTGGGTCGACACCTTCGTGCACTCTGGCACCTCACAGATGTGGCCGCCACCGTGCGACCAGCAATGGCCGTAGCGCTTGGCCTTCTTGGTGCAGCCAGGCTCCGTGCACATTTTGTGGCCACCGTGTTGGAAGCAGCGCTGGTACAACTTGGCACGCTTGTTGCAACCGGATACAGTGCACTTGGATCCGCCGCCGTGGCGCACACAGCAGCCACGAGAGACGGCAAGGTTCTTGCATCCCTCGACTTGGCACGGAGGAGTGTGGGTCTTGCGGGAGTGAGGCCGAACGGGTGAGACCATGGCAGTCTCGGTTTGAGGGTGGAATATCTCGTTTGACATGTATAGTGCGGCCAGCGACAACACTGGAATATTGGTCTTATCGCTGCTGTGCGAGTGAGTGTTGTTGAATCGCTTCTCGCGTGGGGAGATGTACGAATTGACTAGATGACGGTTGTGTGAATTGGACGGCGAGATCGACTCGGGGCTCTGGATGATTGGGGACAGGCTCCGGAAGAGTGCCATGGACTGAGGCGAAGTCGGGGTGGCCACTTTGACCTCGTCATCGGTACGGTCTTCTGTGGCCGGGTTGAGGAGGAAAGAGATATCTGCCTTACACATGGCTGGACGTAGTGAATGTGTCCACTGGACGGTGTCCACTTGACGATGTCCAATTGACGGTGAATTGAATTGTGAACTGAAGACGAAGCAGAAAAGCGAAAAGCGGAGCACCAAGCAATAAGTCACCACCACCAGCAAGGGTCATAAACCTGAGCAACAATGCCAGGCAATTGATCGAAATTTAGTACAGTATCGACGGCAACTGCGGTATCATTGGACTCATGCATGCTTTGCAGCTTGGAATGTGCATAGTCTCGTGAGAGTAGAGAACCTTCGCAGACTGCCGTCAAAACAGGCAAAACGTCGAGATCACCTCGGTGAGCTGACGGAGCACCGGCGCGTAGAAAGCCCGTATTTAGCCATCTCCATGTAGCTTTAGCAATCAAGGGTCCTCGACTGCGACTAGTTTATCGTAGCCAGAGATTTTTATTTATTTATTTGTTTATTTTGCGTGCAGTGCGTGGATATGTTATTGGAGAATCGTCCTCGAATTGACTGCAAAACGCGTGCTTCAGAAGCAAGAAAACACGCAGGCACGCACCAAGCAGAAATGAGACCGGCACACACAGAACTTCAAGCATCATCTGCTTGATTGCTCAAAGGTAGCGCATTTCTAGAACGGCAAATTAACACCAACAAATTAGCAACTTGCCACCGACTAAAAACTTGATATTTGTATGCAGCAAGTTGAAGTGAAAGCACAGAGACGGACTAATACGAGTTTCCGAATCCTCACTTCCTGTATAGCAAACCATTGCTGCAAAACTGGTTTGTCTACGATGAGTCAAAAGAAGGCACCTCAACTCAACTGCACCTACGCTACTGGGATAAATACACTAATTAATAGAAAATGAAGATGAATATGCATGTGTGCGTTAATCCAAGAACATGGCGGAGCATTGGAGGTTGGCTTAGCTTATTTGTAGTAAATATGTAATGTAGTATCCGGCATGTTCTGCGAGCAAAAACCCTGGGCTCCATCGGACGAGAGGCAGCATTTGCCAATTAACTCTTTACCTCCGTCAGATTGAGCGCGTGCCGCACTTAAAACCGAGACCGCTAAGATCCCAACGCTTCTCTACGAGCACATTAGTTGGTAAAGGTCGACGCAACGCGATACCATAGGGGATTTCCGGTTTCGCGCGAGGTCATCCAAGAGAGCATCGTTGGTGATCTAGCATTTCCCGACGCAAGTGCTGAGCAATCCACCCAACCATCAAGCAGCATCTTTGTTACATTCGTCTGCATGCACGCCATTTTTTCTTGTCTGCGCGTTAATCCCGGAGGTGTTGCTCGGTCGGATTTGCCCAATACTGTACAAGCCTGGCACGAGCTGAGAAATACCCCCGGGCTGATAATATTTGCCGGGTACGGACGCAGATTGTATGCTCGCCTCGAGCGCTGCGTGTCTCCGAATTTCGCTGCTCACAAAGCGAGCAGACTCGCCGGAAAAATGCTGCCTCGCTTGCAGACGCCGTGCGTCTTTGTGCCAGCTAGTGTAACTCCTTACTTCAGATTCGAGTGAGGACGTCCAGCGACAGGATACAACACTACACAGACGCGTTCAGCATTCGCTTCAATCACGCGGTACTACGTCATTTTCATTGCTTGTGTCTTCAAAGGCACACGCATCTCAAAAGAGCAAAACCGACGACAGCATTCAATATGAAATCCGTGAATTTAAATAATAATCTGAATAACAAGTTATTCCATGGTGGACTGGACATGGCGCTTGCAATAGTAGTTGTACTTCTGGTACGAACGACGGTTGCAACTTTCATGCTTGCAGCGATTACCACCCCCATGTGCCCAACAGAAACCACCCTGGGTCGACACCTTCGTGCACTCTGGCACCTCACAGATGTGGCCGCCACCGTGCGACCAGCAATGGCCGTAGCGCTTGGCCTTCTTGGTGCAGCCAGGCTCCGTGCACATTTTGTGGCCACCGTGTTGGAAGCAGCGCTGGTACAACTTGGCACGCTTGTTGCAACCGGATACAGTGCACTTGGATCCACCACCGTGGCGCACACAGCAGCCACGAGAGACGGCAAGGTTCTTGCATCCCTCGACCTGGCACGGAGGAGTGTGGGTCTTGCGTGGTCGGGCGATTGTGTTCGTTAACGGAGCGGTCAAAATGTCGGACTGCTCGTTGTCACTGGGACTGAAGCACTCGGAGTACAGAGCGGCCATGGACATGTGTGTTGGTGCGAACTTGCGGGAATTGTAGGACCGGCGTTTCTCAAGAGGGACAATGTACGGGAGACGACCCGTGAACGAGACTGGAGCACGTTCGGGGCTGCTCATGATGGGCGAGAGGCTGTTGAAAAGTGATGTCGATGGTGACCTAGGCGCATGCTCGGGAGTTGTCGGAGCTAAGGGTTCCGACGGGTTTAGGAGGAACGAGATGTCTGTCTTGTTCATGACTTTGGTTGCTTCTTGTGTCTGTTGAACGGTCGATTCAATAATGAGTGAGACTTGGGGCGAGGTTCGATTGCCGCTTGTCGATTCACCAAGCAGCGCGTGCAAGTACCGGCCAAATTGATTCATGATGCGTGTTTATTGCTGCCAAAACGCCATCTGATTTTCATCAATACAATGCACGAAATGCATTCAGGAGACCTGCGGATCTTGACGCATGCGTCTCGCTGCACAAGGTACCCTGTCACAGGTAAGTCGTATTGACGCTCTACATTGGTCTTTGACAGAGAAGCTGATCATCGTCCTATATCCGCTATCGGCCACTGCCGGGTAAATCTGAAGATGGCTTTCATAGTTTATTAAGTTAATCATCCTCGTTAAGAGAAACGCAACATGACCATGACACGCGGTGACGCTCGTTAGACACGCGCACCGCCAGAAAACTTCAGAAACTGCGACGGTCCGTTCATGAGACCATCTTATTCACATGCCAAAAGCACTCAGAAAAGCAGGAACCTCTAAAGTTGTAGAGGCTATCTGTGGATTAATAAAAACATGCGCACATCAGTGTGAGAGCTCTTAGAGTCCGTGTTCTTGCAGCATGGCGCTAAAATGCGGCAGTATCCAGTATAAGCTTGCAAACTTCAGCAGTATGGTCGGGCTTGAACCTTGTAAAATGGACGCGAAGGTGAATCACATACATGCAACTAATCCTCACACGCCTGTGTTGTTCAGGATGGTGGTGACGGTAACGACGTCAAATTTTTAACAGCATACATTCGGGCGAGGCGCGTGGATTCGCGGTAGCGAAGGCTACTTGGGTTGTTCTGCGTGGTTTCTTCTTCAACCAGCGTGCCGGTCGTGCAGACACGCAATCCACTTTTGGCTCACATTATGCTGCTCACTTTCAAACGTGGCAGCCTTTGTTTTTTCATTTCTGCCAGATAAGCATGCATGCCCGAGTTTAGCGTATCAGTAGTTGAATGTTCTAAAAATTTACTGTTAAAAACACCGAAGAGCAAACCACGAACTTCTCGACTTCATTATAATTGCTGAATCGTTGTCGTGAACACGCTCGCACCTGGCATCATCCTGCCTGGGACAGAATTTAGCAGCTCCAGATTAGCGCAGTTCTTTTTTTTTACTTCAAAATAAGTCTCCGGACTATAAGAATATTTGAGTACTGCAATTAAAGAATTGTAAAATGTGTTGTCAAGACTTTGTCGTTTCCATTTTTGGGCACCTCAGGAAGCACCCATTTTATGCATGTAAACATTTTGATGTGATGTAATAATCAGGGCTTTTAGGTCACGTTATTATTATCATATTTGCGTGACCTATTTAAGCAGAAATCATTTTAATAACCTAATTGTAAATGAGGGGGAATAATTGTTTTTCAGTTTTGAGCCCAATAATTCATTAGACCTATAACTGGTGTTGTAGCGCTCTGACAGAAAAGTACTAAGCTATTTGAGACCATGATGACCTACATAAAGAACCACCTCAGCGTAGGGCAGGCACGCGCCGAGCCCAGGTTTGCCGACGCGTGCTCCGCACCACCAGAAGCCTGTGATTGGCAGCGTGCATGCAGCCACATTTCAACACAGCGATTTGTGGTCGCGAAAGCCTACGCTATCTGTCACTCACAGACTGTCAGGGCTGGACCACCCGAATCGGTCACTGGCCAATCGCAGTTCTTCGTCGCCGGAATCGTCAACAGCCGCGTGTCTGCACCGTCGGAAGCCCTACAAACTCCAAGTCAAAACGAGGATGCGCCGCATTTCAGCGTGTGCCGGCACGCGCTCGAGATTCGACCAATCAAACGTCGGTGCGCCACGCGCTCTTCAATTCGGAGCACGCTTTTGACCGACAGACACGCACTCCTGCGCGGCATTGACGCTCTCCGCCGCTTCGTTCTCGTTTTGTCACCGTCATTCCTAGCATAGCACAAAAAATGCTATCGATTCATGGATCACACAACCGAATTGCATCCGTCGAGCGCAGGCTTGTCGACTGCATCCATTGCACACTCCTATCAACTGACTGACTGACACTGCAACTACAAACGACGGACAACAATGAGTGGCAAGTCGGACATCTCGTTCCTGCTGAACCCGCAGCCTACAGTCGAAGACATGTGTGTGCAGTTAGCACCGCCCATGTCGCCGCCACCGTCGGCCATGCTTGCACGACTGGCCGCCATGGCACAGAGTCCAGCCGCGTCAGCCACGTCGTCGTCACTCCTGCTACTGGGTTCATGCATCGCTCCACTGAAGAAAGTGGCCAGCAGCTGCAATAGCGATACCATGGCATGTAAAAAGCCAATGGTACCTGCGTTATCACTGGCTGCTCTGTGCGAGGCAAGCAGTGGCAGCAGCAACTACAGTAGCAGTGGCGCCGAGTCGAGCTGCAGTGACGACGAAGACGAGGAACCAACCACCGAAACAACACCGTCGACAGCGGCTACGGAGCAACAGACAACCGACACAACTGCTGAGCAGACGAAACCCACGACTTCTATTAAACCCAAGGCCAAGAAGACACGGACAGCCCGCACGCGCGTCCGCAAGAACCGCACGCCACCCTGCCAGGTCGATGGATGCACGAACATTGCCGTGTCTCGCGGCTGCTGTGTGCGCCATGGTGGCGGGTCTCGGTGCACGGTGGCGGGATGCCCGAACCGCGCCAAGTTGTACAAGAAGTGTTTCCAGCACGGTGGCTTCAAGACGTGCGCGACCGAGGGATGCACGCGCAAAGCGAAGCGGTACGGCCACTGCTGGTCACACGGCGGCGGTCGCATCTGCGAGATCCCTGGGTGTGAGAAGGTGTCTACACAGGGCGGTCTGTGCTGGGCTCACGGCGGCGGCAACCGTTGCAAGCTGGAGGGCTGCAGTCGTCGTTCGTACCAGAAGTATGGATACTACTGCGCGGATCACGCATCTCTGGGCAAGGGCGAGTCATCAGCGTGAGTTGATTGACTGGGTGTAACTCAAGTTGAAGGATTTAGTCATCGGTAATAGGAACCTGCAAGTATGTTGCAGGTGTAAAGTATACTATTTATTTGGTCTTCGATCAAGAAAAAAAATATATGAATTCCATCATTCTGTGAAGTATTCTCTGTGTATGGGATCGTAAGGCTTACGTAGGATACTACTACTGTAGTACGAAGTACTTCTAATAGGTGATAGCGAGGTGTCGATAACAAACTGTCATTGATAGTGACAAACTTGAGGTTGTTGTTCGCTGTTTCTGTGTCGCTCTGGTATCGCGCCGAAGCAAGTGACTTTGTTTCATGAAATTGGCAGATTCTGGACGATGGAAGTGTGCTTGCCTTCAATGATATACGCAACACGCATCATGTAGCACATAATCACTAATCTGTGGGCCTGAGCCTAATCTCTCTTCGGTTCGAGACGCTGCACTAGACTCGCAATCAACTTGGCGTGTTCTTCACGGTCCTTCTTCCGTTCCTCTCGTTCAAATTCCAGCTCCAATTGTCGTCGCTTAGTGCGCTGGATCTCGATTTGAAGTTCGATGCCACGCTGTTTCGTCTTCTCTTCCTCTTCACGGATTCTCGCCTCATTCATCTTCTCCAGTGCATGAATATGAATCTCACTAGGCCCCGTCGCGAAGGCGTGTTGCATTTTTATCAGCTCAGCCATCGCCTGCTGGACTGTGACCAAGTCTCCAGTCACTGGTTGTTGTGACGGTGCAGGCTCTTCATTTGCTACCGTCTCTTGCGTCACAGCAGGCTCCGAGTCACTAGGTTGACTCTGCGTCTGCTTCGTGCCACTGGCTTTTGGCACCTTCAAGACTTCGCGTCTCGCAGGCTCCTCTTCAAATGTGTCCGAGCTTGCTCGACGCTTGCCAAGTCGCGAGCTAGTTCGTGATCCCCTCGTCGTTCCCTCTTCTTGCTCTTCTCCACTCCCGTCTTCAGGAAGTCTGGCATTGCCCTTGGGACGAGCATCGATCTCCTTAACCAATTCGTTCATGATCTTGCGGAACGGACTATCGATTTCGTCAGAGCCCTCGACACTGGCCTTCTCCATCCACAGTCGATGACGAGCCACGATCGTATCGAAACGTGCCTTAGCAGTTGTGCCCTTTATGGGGCGCATGTGGAAGTCTGGATGGTCATTCAGACGTTCAGCTACGGCGTCCCATGTCTCTCCTATGGCGCCGTGGCGGGCGTTATACGGTGCGTCCACACTCACTTGCAGCACCAGTAGATGGTCCTCGTCGCGACCAAAGCGCTGGCGAAGTTTTCCTTCGCTGGGGCTGCCCTCCCCAGCAGCATTGAGATCTTCTCGACGAACACCTCGCGGCATGTCAAACACGAATTGGTTCTCTTTTATCTAACATTTGTAAGGGACTATATTACGAAAATTGTGTAGAATTAGTGTGGCAAAAAATGAAAAGTGCTGTATTGATCACAGGAGCGTCGAGGGGCTTCGGCCGCTGCCTCACGCTCGACTTTGCGCGCCTGCTCAAGGCTCAGAGCATTGATCTGGTACGTGGTAGTTGCAGCCATGAATATTTGTCGTGTTGTTCGGTATCTAACGCTCGAAAAAGCACTTGTGGGCTCGCAGTGAGGCTGATCTGAAAGAAACTGAGCGTTTGGCACGTGGAGAATGGGAAAAACAAGCTGCTACGGGTGAGCTGAAGTGCTTCCTACAACCAGTGGATCTGGGCAACTCAGTGGACTACATGACCAAGGTGGATCAGGTGCTACTGCAGCTAGCAGAACAGAGCTACGACCGAGTGTACCTCGTGCACAACGCAGGATCTTTGGGTCAGCTTGGATTGGTCCAGGAATGTGCGTCCTCCCCGATAGAACTAGCCCAGTACTGGGAACTCAACGTCACTTCGGTATTGTGGCTTAACAAGCAGTTCCTGGACATGTTTGGAGCCTCCAGGGACGAGCTGCTGGCGCCTGCTGCATCCTCGAATGAGAAGCACACCCAACTCGTGATTGTCAATGTCACGTCACTCTGCGGTATTGAACCATTCAAGACGCACATGTTATACTGCACTGGCAAAGCGGCGCGTGAGATGCACCACCGAGTGATTGCCACGGAGCAGGCGGCGGTCGGCAAGGTGCGCGTGCTCCAGTACTCGCCTGGACCGATGGACACGGACATGCAGAAGACACTTCGCGAGACGCCGCAATTAGATCCGGAGCTTCGTAAGCAGTTCGCAGACATGAAGGCGCAAGGAACGCTCATCCCACCAGCTCAATCATCGGAACGCGGCGTGAAGCTTGCCATCAGCGGGGACTACGAGACTGGGGCCCATGTTGACTTCTACGATCTCGATCCTCCGAGCAAGAAGTAGCTTGATTGTGGAGAGGCTCAGCATTTCGTCACTGAAAGTTATTTGACACCGCGTTTTGTTATCGATACATGCTCAAACTACATGCAAGTAGTATCTGAGAACGGAGCGTCGACCGGAGCTCACACGTTATTGAGAATGAAGGCAATTTTTCTTAAGATTGGAATTACACTATTCTTTCTAGGCCGAACGCCAAATAAATAGTTCATCATCACCGGTGATTCACCGAACTAGCGCTACTGTACACCTACAGGTTTTAATATCAACGTCTAAATCTTCAACGCAGGCTGACGCTCGCTCAATCAACTCACGCTGATGACTCGCCCTTGC